TTTCATGGGTATCGTAGCCCCATATTTCTCTTTCGAATGGTGAAAACCGCACCTCTCTATCTATCACCGTTCCGGAGCTATAAGGTCAACACTGACCGGCCATTCTATTTTGAAATGGATAGTAGTACTCGCTTGTCCGTAGTATAATATTTTGAAGACAACTTTTTTTCCACCGTGCTGATAGTTCATTTGGGGGTGAGGGTGAGGTACTGGTAGGCTCACCCACACCTCAGCCCAGAATAACCTGAAGATGAATTTGGTACACTTTTTTGGGTGCTCTTACCCTTTCTTCTTTGTGTTCGTGGGTGTTCTTTGGGTGGTCGTGGATGTTCGTGGGTGTTCATTCAAAATGTATGCTTAAAAAGCGAAACTATAAAAAAATGTTTGGGTGTTCGTTAGGGATTGCTATACTCAGCTCGATGAGCTCTATCGATTGGCTAACTCAGATTTTAATTTGGGGTGTTCGTGGGTGCCGGTGTAGATAGCACTCACTTCGATTGATAAATCACATAACTTTTCGTGTTGAGAACGAATTGATGTGCTTTTAAAACGGTGAATACTCTCGAACAATTGCAGAGTATTTCGCGGCTCACCTTTTGAAAAAAAACATTAAATTTAGGGTCATAAAGAAACACGGGAAAAATAGAAAATACCACATGGGCCGTTCTTTACGCTGCATCCGTTAGTTTAAACAATTTTCTTACTCAGCTCGATGTGCTCTATCCAACCATGTATAAATATCTCAAATAGGGATTGTGTTGAAATCTTGCGTTTCCGGCACCTTAGAAACAAACACAGTTTAACATAGTACATGCATAGAAACATATATGTTTATAGACAGGTGTTCTTAGAGATTGCTGAGCAATTTATCTAAAACTCCTCATGAACAATCTCATAGAATGAAAAGTATTTGAATCAGAGTAATAACAGAAAAGTTTGCTTTAGCCGAGAGAATGAATTAGAAAAAGCTAGACAAAATTATAATCCTTCAGTCTTCATCTTGACTAAATCATATTCGTATTTATTTCTCTTCTTCATCTTCATTTTCGTTCAAATCCTCCAATATACAAATTCAACAGGAAAATTTGATTCGATCTCCAAGTACATGTCTGGAAGTTCAAAAATTCTACATCTAATTAGTTCTGTGTGCTCTACAAAGTGTCAAATGCAAGAATTAGTGGTTTCGAGTAATAAAGTCTTGTCACCGAAGACCTGGTTTGTCTCAAATCGATATTCAGAGGCCTAGCAGCTCATTCGACTGTCATATTCAATATTTTTTCATATTTTTATTCTACCATAAAAATCTAGAACATTGTATCGAAACAATTTGACTTTGTCTCAATTTTAGGCATAAATATATTTGTCTGTATTCAATTCGTCAGACATCAATCTGCTTTTGTGCATTGTTATGTCAAGATTAAAATATATTTGCATAACAATTTTGTAATAATAACTGATAACAGAGGTATTCTGTTACTTTCCAATACACGCGCGTCTTACCGGTTGAAGAAAGAAACATCATGTGTAAAAATTTGAAACATTTTTAAGTTCTTTTAGTTTCGCATAAGGTAGAATTATTACTTGTTTCTAAAGTACACTAAGCTTAATAGAGCTAAATAGAGCACATGGTTCTTAAACTAAAACTTGTTGTTACATTATTACGAACTCTAAATGGTGCTCTGAATATTTACCTTCTTTTTCTTTGTTTCAGATGGCTTCAGGTGACATTACAAACGCAACATCTCAAAAACGAAAACAATACACTCTTATTTGGCTTGATTCAGACGTTAAAAAGAATGAAACAAGTATGGATCTTGAAAAGGATTTACGAAACATGTTTAATACAGTTGAAATATTTGAGAAGGAAGATAAATGTGAAGAATATATAAAACGAATGATTGATAGACGAATCATCTTAATTGTATCGGGAATGTTAGGTAGTAAACTAGTGCCACGTGTGCATGAATTAAAACAAGTATACCATATTTATGTGTATTGTTTTGATGTAACCAAGAATGAACATTGGTCTAAAACGTATTCAAAGGTAACTAAATTTTTACTTTTCTCTCTTGTGTGCATATTGTATTCAACTTGGTGGCTGCATTCAATCATAAGGTACCAGAACTTCAGAAATCAAGAGAACTGTTTGAGGGTGTCTAGTGCTAAGTGTAGAATGACCAGCGAAGTATCCACACATGAGCAAAATCAGCGGATCTGCCAAGTATCGAGTAATCGATTTCGACTATCTCGAGTATGAGTCGCGCCCGGTGCATGCCTAGGCAGTGGTGCGCATCGGTGTTCCGAAATAAAATTATTCGGTACAGCTGCGCATTCGTACCAAACTCGTGTTGAGAAATATTTTTTGTGAGGTATCAATGTGCATCTTTGCTGTTTTGTATCATACTTCAAAGTAGGCATCTATGCGGATTTTCGACAAAAAACGATAGTAATCTATTTTCAGTTTAAAACAGAGGCAAATACAGTATGAACTACAGGCTTTTCAGTCGTATTAAAAAGTTCGCTGCAACCGCTAAGCATCAGACAATGTAGATAGTGAAGGCTTATCAATGAACTTCTCCGAAAATACGTAGCGATTACGTAACCTTTGCTCCCGTCTTCCTCCTGAATAATCTTCCGTAGTCTTTGCTAGGTCGCTACTCTTCTCAACGGATCACATAGTATTTGTCCCGTTGCACAAAATCCCAGCCTCCTCCTAAAGCAAAATCTTTTGACTTTTAACAATATTAAACATTTTTAGTAACGGAGCAATATAAAGTAAAACCTATCCGAAACTTAACCAGAAGAGTAAACGCATGTAGATACAAAACAAAGAACAATTGTGCTTGATTTTTTGATTTTTGGAACCTCATGAACTTCTCAATTTAGGTAAGAAATGTCGTTGCAATAGCTGCAGATCTTCGTAGACGTTTAGGTGGGTTGGTTTGGGATGATGAACAGTTGCAGAAAGTATCAACGTAAGTTCGTTATAAACAAATAAGCTTCTCTCTAATTTACCTGATTCATGACGAAAAAAGCTGTTCACAACGAACATTTGAACGATTTGACCAATAAACTAGTTAAAATAAACTTTGGATAACAGCAGTATCCGTGTATATTTTAATCATTTGCTAATCTTACTTTATTAAACTTAATGTTCAGACTCAAACAGAGGCTGTGTGCAACTTATGCTGGTCAGTGGCAGCTCCAGAATTATTTTTGGTACGTGTGGTATACAATAAAAGTGCGAGATATGTGCGGTCGGCATAGAAACAAATTATTTTATGAGAGATCTGCTAGGAAAAATAGTTTTTTTATTAAAAGGTACGAACGGTTGCTCGTACCGTTCGCGGGCTGGATCTGTCACTGATGCTAGTTGACAAGCACTATCAAATATATCTTTCTTGAAAAAGTTTTGCTTCTAGAACATAACAGAAACTACTGTCCGTCAAACTGTCGTTTTTATGTTCATCTTATGACTTTCAGTCGCTCCATATCCATATTCATATTCACTATGGTCGGTAATCTGTCTAAATACTTTTTGGCTAAAATCGCATGTGGAACATGGTTTTCCAGAGGTCCAAAGTTTTAGGAGCATTTTCAGGATTGTCCTCTCAAATCCAAATAAAACCCTTCGCTACTAGACACGAAAATATAGAGGCACAAAGCCTGACTAAAATAGCGAAAGAATTAGCCCGATACCTAGCAGTGTTTTTGGACAGTGATCACTTTAGTGTAGACAATTGGAAAGTTTGAGCTCATATATCTCAAAATCTCCCCGAAAAGCTTTTATAATTATTATCAGAATAGATAGTGCTCATCTTGAGCCTCGAAATTCGTAAAATATCGATCGTCTTTTAATGATTTAAGAGAGCTCTTTACTCGATTTTTTACTTCTACTGCGGCCAGATCGTTTCTTTTATCATAATTTTCTTATTTTAGCTGATTCTAATCATAACATATGAAAAGTATCTGCTTTTTCCTCGCAACGATTCAAGCCGGGAGACCGCGATATTCAGATCGGGCATGTCGAGAAACGGCGTTCACCTAAGTTTGAGCTTAAAGGCAGACAAAAAGTTTTCCTCGAAATTTTTGCCTGAGGTCCCCTTCAGCTGTTTTGCCTAGCATGTTGGACGAAAACTTTTTTTTCAGAACATATCGAATTATCTATGATTAGATGCAGTTTTTTTCGTAGATTCCGAATATTACATTGGTTTTGCATAAAAGTACTTCTGAATGTTTAAAATTTAAGTTCTTCGGTTTTTCCGTTCTGCATATGAGTGAATTGCAACTTTTTGGTACAATTGACCCGAAAAAAAGAAAGTGAACCTAAACAACTTTGAGTACTGCATTTTAGTATGCTCTATGCCTGTAGTACACAGCAAAATTTTCCCGACACTTCATCAATTATTAAGGGAGATATACGCTGTAGAAATGTACAATTTTTTATCGGCCGTAGAAGTCAAGACACTCTGATATTTTTTCAATAACTTTCGATAGGAACATGATAGAGACCTGCGGTTTTCAGCGTTTGATAGCCAAGACCCAGGAGCATATTTTCATAAGAAAATTTTTCCAAAAAAAAATCCGAAAAATCGGTTTTCCAAATGATTTCTTGGAAATCACGCTAGATTTTTACAGATCGTTTGTAAACCCAATTTTTCGAATATTTTTTGGAAAAATTATGAACTTGATAAAGTAACAACCAAAAACTGTTTAAAAACACGTTTCTAGTTGTTATAGACAGAGATAGAGAGCGACGCGAGAACAGGTGTTTTAGATGAAAAACTCCTTGAACCCAACTTATAATTTTGAG